ATAGCGTTTTTTTTTTTTTTTTTTTTTTTAACAGAACAAAATTTTCAATGATAGAGAATTCAATGGCCGATTTTTATCATAAAATGATAGATGAAGTTTCTGTGTTGTTGATTGATGATGATAAAAAATTTGTCAGTGAGATGATTTATTTACTCGAGTCTCACGAATATAAAGGTAAATATGCACTACTCCAAAAAATACATATAGAACTTAAATTTGTGTGATATGTTTTATTTTCATAATAGATTTTATTGATATGATACTTGTTATCTTATTTTTTATTTTATTTTGTATCAATCGTCTTTTAGATCTCATTAATTTTTTAGATCTTGAATTTGTTTTTCTGATTGTCATAACACTGTTTCTTTACTTGTTTATATTTTTTTTACTAGTTACTAAATGACTTTTTGTAATTTCTTTTATAAGCTTGTTACACCCGATTAGTTTTTTCTGTAGAGATCTATATAATTTTTAGTGATGGTGGTAGTTTATATTAATTTTCTTATCATTTAATTTCAATTTTATCAGATATCCTTGAAGAGACATAATCTATACAGATCATTTTATCTACTTAATCAACTTACATGTATGTGTTTTACTCTTGATCTTTTTGTAGAAAAAGAGAAGAAAATGTTCTTTGTCAATTGATCTATAGCAACAAAGAGTTGGAGGAGAAAATCTATTAAATTCTTCAGATACAAATTTTTATTAGGGCTTAGATCTTTAATTTCTATAAATTTATTTATATTTTAGAGAAATAAATTATTCAGATAGTGAAGGCACACAATAAAAACAATGTGAAGAAAGGGAAAGAGAGAAACTGATGAGAGTCAATTATTATTATTATTAATGTTGTTGACTTTGACATAAAAACTTCTTGTCTTTGTTAGGATGTAGACAAAAAATACTTTCACTTTTAATTTTTTAAAAGTATTAAGATATATTGAACTCAATAAGTAAAATTTAGAACGATAACTTAATTAAAATTTGTTTATGTTTTTTTTACTAGATGATAAATGGTTTTTTTTTTTTTAGATTTTTCATAAGCTTGTCACACGCTTGAGATTAGTTTTCTCTATAGAGATCTATATTATTTTTAACGGATATGGTAGTTTATATTAATTTTTTTGTCATTTCAATTTCATCTGATATCCTAGAGGAGGCATAATTTATATTGATCATTTTACCTACTTAATAAACTTAGATGTGTGTTTAACTCTTGATTTTTTTTGTAGAAAAAGAGAAAAAAAATATTTTTTATTAATTGATCTAGAGCTACAAAGAGTGGAAGGAGAAAATCAATTAAATTTTTCAAATGTAAATTTTAATTAAGGCTTATATCTGTGATTTTTACAAATTTATTTATAATTTAAAGAAATAAATTATTTAGATAGTAACAGCAAAAGATTAGGACAATGAAAAGAAAGAGAAAGAAAGAAACAGATTAGAGTCAATCTAGGTATTACTATTATTGACTTTCAGATAAAAAGCTTTTTGTCTTTTATGGGATATAGACAAAAAAAATATATATATAAATAAGTTTTACTATTTTTCAATATACTATTGTTATTTCATTCTTTTAACTACATGTATCTAGAATTTTATTAGTTATTTGTAGTTAAATTTTCATGATAATTTTTTGTATATAATTTTATTTTTGTGTTCTTTTCATTGATCTTTAAAATGCATTGATACAGTTAGGACAGTTGATATGGCTTCACAAGGAATGTCAATGCTCTCCAAAGGAAAGGAAAAAATTGATTTAATGATTATCAATATGAATTCAGCCGGCTTGCTTTCATTTCAGCTTTTGGATCAAGCTGTAGCCTTGGATATAGTTTCAGTTTGTAAGTATTTAATTTTACTCTTCATTTATGACATTTAATATACTTATTAAAAAAAAATTAACTATCAAATATGTCTTTAATTTATCATCTCTAAATAACCCTTAGCTAAATAGATTTTGTTGGTAATATGTCATCAAGAAGGATTAGCTATGAATATTAATTTGTTATTTAGAGTCATAAATTATCTATTATGATAACTCTTATTTTTAGTGATAAGATAATATCTGTTTTTGTAAGAATATATATTGTTATAATAGATAAAAACCAAATTAACCCTTAGATAATGTTTACAATATAATATAATTTTAAAATAACATTAATGCAGGTATTTGTGATGAATACGATGTACGTTCAGCAAAGAAAGCTTTTGAAAGTGGTGCTTATTTTTACATGCAAAAGCAACTTTACCAAGGATTTGTGAAGTACATGTGGCAACTTGTATTGCAAAAGAATATACAAGAGGGAAAGACTATTGATGTCATTGATATTGTTGGAGATAATGTAGAGGAGAATAATGTGCCTATTAATATAGATGAGCAAGGCAATGATATCCATGAGACCACAAATGATGTTGTATCTAATGAAAAGAGCAAATTGAGGAAAAAGAAAGGTAGAAAACTGACTGAAGAGGAAAAGAGTCAAAGCAGTGCTACTAAGGTTATTATTCGACGAAAGACTCGCATCATATGGACTGCGGATCTTCATGACAAATTTCAACAAGCTGTGAACAAACTCAATGATGGCAGTGAGTTTACTTCACAATTATTTATTACTTCATATTTATAATCGTGGTCAACTTACTTGGAATTAAGACGCTCAGACTAATAATTGTATTTAATTCATCTTTCTTATCTTATCTTAATTAGGGATATATGTTAAGTTAAAGTGAATTTTCATTGTTATGAATTGTTTTGTAGGATGTTTTCCAAGTGATATTCTTGAGGCGATGAATGTACCTGGTCTTACTAGGTATCAAGTAGCTAGTCACTTGCAGGTACATTTCTCTGGTGAATTATGTATGTAATATTTGTGTGTATTTGGTAAAAGGAAAAATAAGATTTTATATCACTTTCGCCAATGACATTAATTAACATAAAACCTTTTATGATGTTCAAAAGAATGTTCAACTCAATAATATCATTATCTAGTCTTTAGTTTATATCTTAGCTTTTTTGAGAGATATTTATTGTTAACCTATTATATCAAAGAAAAATAAATAATATTTTTTTCTTCTTCTTAACACCTTACAGAAATGTCGTAACAATACTTGGAAAGCTCCAAGGAAGAGAAAATCTAGTTGTCGTCAATTAGGAATCTCAAGTAGCCTTGGAATATTTGAGACGACGACGTCTCATGTTAAAATGAATGTTACAAATCTACAACAGCAAGAAACCCAAAGAAGCCCAGCAACTCCATTTCTACCAGACAATAATAATATTTTTGCTAGAGGAGCAGAGAGTTCAACTTTGCAGGAGGTCTATGTTGATCCCCAATACCTCAACCCACTTTTATCAAACAATGTTGCTGAGGAGGGACCTTTATGGGGATCAAATATTGGGCTAGAGTTTAACAATGGGATTCATCATGCTCAAAATGACTATGCCTTGGATGTAGCAACAGCGCCAGCTGATACAAATATCTCCAATGCGACAATTGATGGATTGGGAGTAGCAAATAATGATTTTCAGCAACATATTGGTGAGTTGCAAGGATCAAATATTGGGAGCGCGGATTATACACCCGGGCTAGAGTTTAACATTAATGGGATTCATCATACTCAAAATGACTATGCCTTGGATACAAATATCTCCAATGCGACAATTGATGGATTGGGAGTTCAGCAACAAAACATGGCTCAACATATTGTCACAACATCACATGTGAGTGATACTCAAGGAAGTGAGATGATGGATTGTGATGCTTATTTTGATTTCGATAAGCTGGATTTCTTCTATCAGAATAATGAACTTCCAAGTTTTGACCTACCCAATGAACATGACAGTTTGTTTGATCAAGTTTACTCTGATGATATGGTCAGTACTGCTTCTATCTAAACTTTATTTATGTTGCTATGCTACTATTTATTTATCTACATTTGTCATGATGGTAGTTTCTTAGAAACAAATTAAATTTGATGTTAATTATATCTTTATATGCAGGTGACATCCAGTGTTCAATTTCCAGATATAACAAGTTTTCCTGATGATTCTTCAACATGATCCAATGCAGTCTGAGGCTTTTTATGGAGATAAAGTTGTTTCTTCAAGTGGAAATTGCATCTTTCATTTTGTTTTTTAGACTATATATCTAGTACTCTATCTTTTTAATGTTTTATGTTGTTTAGATTATGTAGTATCTTTTTTATGTTTTGTAGTACTCTGGACGGCAAAACTTAGTTAAATTGAAATCCTAAATATTTTGACTTTTAGTCAAGATATACTAGTTTCAATAAATATTGCGTGTCAATATAACTAATGATTCAAGTCCAATAAATATAGATTTAATTGAAGGTTCAATTATATTGAACTAATCCATTCAATTGGGCTACAAATGACAAGTCCTATCCACTCTTCTAGAGGCATAATTTGGTGTCATTTGTCAAACGGAGAAGGGCTTAGAATTCCCTTGAACTGTTGAATTAGTATAAAACTATCAATCATCTACCTTTTAGCCCACATATATCCCAGCCATCAACATTTTGGTTCAAAAACACACTCGAAAGAGTATTCTGATGTCACTTAGGAGAAGTATAGGGAAGTGTGTGCATAAAGTAGTCGGATACTTTTTTGTTCTTTTTCGTGGCGCAGGTAGTTGAGACCTGACTCGTGAAATAAATCAGGGTCGGATCGATGACACTCTACCGATAAGTCATATCCCTTCTTGTCGCATTGGAAAATAAAAATTGACTAATTCTAAGTCGAAAGGTCTATTAGCTTCTATGCTCAACCAACGTTATGAACTTGAATCTCAATTAAAAAAAAAAAGTAGTTCTGAGAGGACCCCATTTAGCTAGCTCACTTCTCACCTCAATGCTACACTTCCACGGGTACAAATAAAGACACTTGAAAGACTAATCAGAGTTGACAAAGGCCTTAGCATCCTAGTTCTGTACACTATAAAAAAGGTTTCCCCTAAGCCTTCATCTAACAGGAATTCTAGTATTATAGGTCATTGGGCGGTCAAAAGGTTCCCACAAGTAAGTTAATCCGTAACAACATTTGTTCCTTATGTGAACAACCATTTTCTTGAATTTAATTCATATACACTTTTTATTAGTTGGATTTCACACAATATATAAACAAATAGTTATAGTGTACAATGAAAAGTGAAAAAAAAAACAATGTTGTCCAAAGATAATCAGTTATGTATAAAAGTCTACTCACTAATGGACTATGATGGAGAAGGCAAGCAAGAACCAATCTAAAATCCGAATAGCTTAACTAACCTCTTCATAGTCCATTCATTAAATTTGTGAAGGGCCAAAACAACTCCAAAGTTGAAATCATGCCATAGGTCTTCAATAGTGGTGATTTTCTGGTTGGCATTGTATGGGAATTACACCAGTGAAGACGGTTTTACATCCCTTCAGTATTTCCTTCCGAACGACCTGTAACATGACTAAGTTATCAATCAACAACAACAATAATTGTAATTCCACAAGTGGGATTTGGTGAACATGTTGTGTACGCAGTCTTAATCATAAGTAATATTATTTTAATCAACTCCGTGGAGTTGCACTTGCTAAAAATGAGAGATATTAAAATTTTCATCATAACAATGTTTCTTTGTCTAGCTGATCTAGTACCATTTCCTAATGAAGGCTCCCCTCCCCAAAGAATCATCAACCTTCTTCTTCTTTTTTTCTTAGAACGAAAGGATTTATTTATATATAATTAAGGATCATTCATACAAAAAGAAATTGATCTAAACAATGTAGTTCCAGTAGCATCTCTTTCAAGGGCATTAGATACAAATGAATGAGATACTTCAAAAACATAGAGTTGATATAGTTCTACTATGGGAATTAATTAAAAATTGAAGTACTAATATTTATTCAATTACTGTAAACTCAAATAAAAAAAGTCGTAACTCGAAATCATTTGTGAGCTCATTTAGAAACATTCAAACTAAAATATAAAACTTTACAAAATAGTACTCCCTCCGTCCCATTTTATATGATGTACTTTGATTTGGTACAAACTTTAAGAAAAATGGAAAGACTTTTAAAATTTGTGGTCCAAAATGAATGATAGAAATTTGTGTGGTTGTAAATCATTTCATTAAGGGTAAAAAAGACATTTTATAGGCAAATTGTTACTTAAAATAGAAATGTGTCATTCTTTTTGGGACTGACTAAAAAGGAAAGTAAGTCATATAAATTGGGACAGAGGGAGTACTATGTTTGAGTATTGAAGAATTTCCAAATTCATCAAAACTAACAATTGTTGGTAACAAAATAGTATATATAATATAATTCCTTTCTCTTTTGCATGTCTAACTCAAACTTGTATTCATAGAGAATCTTTTAATACCTGCTAGAATCATTTCATCACCACCATAGTTCTTTTGAGGATCCATTTTTAAGTAATATATAATAGAATTAGTATAGGTTCTTTTGAAAAAGAAAAAAAACATTGTATCCTTCAATTTATTTGTCTTACTTTTTTTAGTTTGTTTTGAAACATTAAAAAATGTTTCTTTCTTTTTTGTCAATTTTAAATTTTAACTTTCCACCTAACATGTTTAAAACCACAAAATTAAAATATATTTTGATATATATATCTAATTTAGTTTAAGACATTAAAAATAATCTTTACTTTTTAAAATGTTATGTCAAGTCAAAATAAGGATAAAAATTAAAAAGGATGAAGTATTATTTACAGAAAAAATATTTTTTTTCATTAAAAAAACAACAACCAACCTTGCATCTCAAAAAATAATTTTAAATATGCTAACAATTCTGCTAAAAGAATAGACTTTAAAAATAAATAAATAATAACTAAAATTTGAGGTCCTCCTCTGCTTATGAAGCTTCAGCTTTAGCTCGTCATTCAGGAAGGAGAAGCAGGTCAATTCCTTTTAAGATGGAATCAAAAGGAATTACGTCTGAACAAGCACGTCATTCCATGAAGACCAGTCTCACCAGTGACATCAATGAACAAGTATATTCCAATTTCTCACTTTTCTCGATTTGGACGAATAATTTTTGTAATTATTGTTAGCGAATACAATACTTAGGGTTTCGAGTAGTAATTGTCAGCCATAATCTGATATCTAATTGTATGTAATCTCCTAGTTTATGTGTTTAGTGATTTCTCGAGTGATAGATATCTCTGTTCTCGATTCCGATGAATTGTTGTTACGCAAAATGTTTGTGAAATTAATAACTATCTCCGTTCTCGATTCCAATGAAAAAAAATTATTTTATAATTAAAAAAATGAAACCCAAAAGCGAAAGCTAAAGAAAATTGAATAGAAAAAAAAAACACCAAAAGGAAAATGATCAATTCATGAATTAATATCTAATAAACATTTTAATTTGACTTCCAATTTCAGAACTTCATGTAATGAAAAATTTGTCATGTCAATTAAAAATTTGCTACGGAATACATTTTCTTTGTCTGGGTTCAAATTCACTTTGGTTTAGGAATTTTTTTTTTAATTAAAATTGATTTAAGATTTTTCTTCAATTATTGTTACTTATATAGAATTATAAAATTAAAAATATTCCAAGTAAGGTGCCGATGAATAGTATAAAGTAGCAAGTATTCTGTATTATTTATTAAAACTCTTGATAATCTTGACATGTAATAAGGCAAACTTGCTTGTGATTTGAGGTAAATTTAACTTTAGTTTGTTCATGAAGTAGGTATAATATACTTTGTGTATTTTTTTTTATATAGACGTTGATATTCAATTTTGACCCTTTACAGTGTTAACTAATTATTGAGTTTTTTCAATTTCACAAAAATTGGAATAATTATTTTTATAAAATCCAAAAATACTTTCAAGTCATCTTTAGGTAATTTTTTCATTTTTTAATAAAATAAGTAAGGTATATATTTCTATATGTTTATAATATATAGATTATTATTTATGAATATTTAGAAAACTATTTCAAGAAATAGTGTTTTTAATAAAGTGTATTAATTAGTAGTTCATTTCAAAAGTAATTAGTATGTCTTCGTAATCATCTTAATCTTGTTAAAGATAAGATTCTTTAATTCTTTTCTTATCTAGAACTCTCGCTCTATCTTTTCCCATTTACAATACTTTGGTCTTATTCTTTTTTTTTATTATTATGGGAAAAGGCTTAAATATGTTATTGAACTTTGACAAAAGGTTTATTTACGTCATCAGTTAAAAGTTTGACTCATGTATATCATTACCGTTTTAAAAAAGGCTCATCCATGCCACTATTTGTTAATCCTTCGTTTCTTGTTTTCTTTCGTGCTTTTTATTTCAGCTTTAGTAAACACTCTTCCGTTCAGTTTTACTTGTCACTTATCCCTACAATAATTTATTTTTTTATTTGTCACTTTTGACATATCAAGAAAACACAATTATTTTTTTCTATGTTTTACCCTCAGCATAAAATACTTATTTTTCAAATTATTTTTCAAGACAATACATATATCATTAATTATTTTTTTAATGGGCATTTCAGGTGAACCTGTGACAAGTAAAAATGAACAGAGGGAGTATAAATCATGTCTGATTATTCTTATTTATTAATGTTTTAAGATGGTATAAAAATTGTGCTTTTATTATTTTAGTCCGTATTTAGACTAGATGGTTCTCATTTCATTCCCAAATTAGCATATAATAATGGCATAATATATAAATATGTTGTAACTTCTCACTAATTTAAAGAACTAGAAAGAGTTAGAATTGGAAATAGTCATTTTAGAAAAGAATGAAAAATCTGAAAATTTGTTAAGTTATGTTAAGTTTGGGTTTTTGGTCTACTTCAAATGACCATAAATCCTATCTCAAGATGAGTTAGGTGTGCTTCCAGATACCGTAGGAAAGATCTTGGAATTATCTTTCCAATGCCGCCAAGTTTGCGCGATTCCGAGTTTGTATGAGTGAGATATGCCCATTTGAAGTTGGGTTGTTCAAATAAGGAAAATCTAAATCGGATTTTGGAAGGGTATTTTGGTGTTTACCATACCCAATTAAATTAATTCATTTTTTGGTAATTACTTAGGGGTCTAAA